GGGATCCAGGGAGCCGACCGCAAAGTGTGAGGAGGCACTGCCCTCCCGCACCCCATTCCCGGACACTGCCAGGCTGGGGACCCGTCTTTGTGCGGTGGTCGCGGGCGTGGCCCGCCCTCTTGTGGCTGTCGGTGGACCTGCAGCTCAGCCGGAAGCCGTCAGTCTCTGGCTGATGTGTGGCCCTGGGCGGAGGCCTGCGCGCTGTGTGGGCCCTGGTGCGATGGGAAGGGAGCTCAGGACAGGCGGCACGCTGGCGCCGGTCACACGAGTGCCATCCTTACCACCCTCGCCCGGCACGTGGCAGGGATGCCTTGGTGATACGGGAAGCCCAGCCCCAGTCAGAAGCTATGCTCCGACTTTGCCTCCAAACAGCTGTGTATCCTGGGTGCCAGGATTCCTGTTATTGAAAGGAATTGGACTTTGTGCTCTTGGAAGTGCTGGATTGAGTGCTTTTGAAAGTGCTGAACACAGTGTTCTTGAAAGTGCTGAACATAGTGCTCCTGAAACTGCTGAATACAGTGCTCCTGAAAGTGCTGGGCTCAGTGCTCTTGAGAGTCCAGAAATGCAACGGCTCGCAGACCCCTTTTCTCTGTGGATTCTGAGCTGGAAGCAACTGGACAAGGAACCCAGTGGCTGTGGGCCCTGATGTGGTCTGGGGGAGCAGCACAATCCCTGGAGCCTCCCCTGGCCCCTGCTCAGGGCTGCCAGGCCAGACCTTGCGCTGGTTGGGGCCACATGGCCTGAGCATTTATAGGTGGAGCAGGGTGGGCCTGCAGCTTCCCTGATGCCCTCAGCCTGGCCCAGGCCCACCCCTGAGGAGACCGGGCCCCTCCCAGGTCCTAAGATGTCATGGTGTGTTCTTCCTCTTCCCTGCCTGGTTTCTAGACTCTCTCTCCATTTATGTCACCGTCACCGTCACCATCACCACCATCACCACCACCCCAGGGCCTGAGTGGCCAGTGACACAGGGCGACCCCTCCCCAGGTCTGCAGTCTTCCCCTGGCTAGGCACAGGGATGGTGTGCCTTTGGGGGCGCAGGAGAGGACACAGAGCTCCCTGCTGGCCATGGTTCAAGGCTGGCCCAGGCCCAGCACGGAACCCCGCTGCCAGCCCCACTTGCTTTGGCCCGGCTGTCCTCCCCCAGTGGCAGCGTTGGTCCTGCCAGGTGCTGCTCCAGCCTGCACTGCCCTGCTCCAGGCTGTGGGGGCCATGTCCGCCTGGCAGGGGATGCCTGTCTCTTTGGGCTCCAGGCAGGCAGGGTGGGTATGTACTGGCCTGCCGCGGGGGTGTGGGGGGCTTCACACTGAGCTGCATATCCCCAGCCCCATCCCCTTTTAAGTTTTTTAAATTTTGTCACAGACTCTCACTAAGTTACTGAGTTGTGCAGGCTGGGCTCAGACTTGCCACTCTCCTGCCTCAGCCTCCCAGAGCTACCATGCCTGGCTCCAACCTCTTTCTCCACAGTGAATGCCCACTTCTGCACTTGCTGAGGCAAGGACTCTCCGGAGTGTCACAGCTGGGCAGTCGTGCTTCCCGCTGCCCAGTGAAGCCGAAACCTTCCCGGCGACTGCCCGATCTCTGCCTCTCTGGGAACCGGAGCCACCCAGGCGCATCAGAGCCCCTACTGCCCGGCGTCCATCCCTCCACCCGGCCTGCCCAGGTCTGGCGCTGCGCTAGGACTCTGGGTGCACATCTGGGGCTGGCTCCTCAGAGTGACCGTGGCTCAGGTGGGATTTTTACTTTCTGCATCGCATGCTGGGCTGGGGACATCTGCTCAAGACTCACAGTTCCTAAGTAGCAGCCAGGATCGGATCCAAGTCCGGTACCGCTGGACCCCAAAGTCCTTGATCTTAATGCTCTGCTCTGTCTCAACAATAAGTTACTAAGAGTCAGACGCAGTGACGCACACCTGTCACTGCAGCACTCAAGAGGCTGAGGCAGAAGGGTTGCCAGGAGTTGGAGGCCAACTCAGGCTACATAGTGAGTTCAAGACCAACCTGGACTACATAGCAAGACCCTGTGTTCACACACACACACACCCCTCTCCCGCAAAACAGAACACCCAGAGAAAGTCCAGAAAGCCCCTGTGCTCCATATGCAGTGCTGTGAGGCTAGGCAAGCACGTGCGGCCGTGGAATCTTCACAGCTTCTGGGGCCTAAGGCCGTGGGGGAAGCAGGCCGTAGAGCGGCGCCCACTCACAGGACGCCCGCTCTGACCAGAGCAGACGCTGAGAGCGGCCGCTGTCCCGCAAAACAGAACACCCAGAGAAAGTCCAGAAAGCCCCTGTGCTCCATATGCAGTGCTGTGAGGCTAGGCAAGCACGTGCGGCCGTGGAATCTTCACAGCTTCTGGGGCCTAAGGCCGTGGGGGAAGCAGGCCGTAGAGCGGCGCCCACTCACAGGACGCCCGCTCTGACCAGAGCAGACGCTGAGAGCGGCCGCTGTGTGGGCGGGGCGTGGGACTAAGAGTCAGACGCAGTGACGCACACCTGTCACTGCAGCACTCAAGAGGCTGAGGCAGAAGGGTTGCCAGGAGTTGGAGGCCAACTCAGGCTACATAGTGAGTTCAAGACCAACCTGGACTACATAGCAAGACCCTGTGTTCACACACACACACACCCCTCTCCCGCAAAACAGAACACCCAGAGAAAGTCCAGAAAGCCCCTGTGCTCCATATGCAGTGCTGTGAGGCTAGGCAAGCACGTGCGGCCGTGGAATCTTCACAGCTTCTGGGGCCTAAGGCCGTGGGGGAAGCAGGCCGTAGAGCGGCGCCCACTCACAGGACGCCCGCTCTGACCAGAGCAGACGCTGAGAGCGGCCGCTGGATGGGCGGGGCGTGGGCGCGGGGAGGAGGGGGTGCTGGCCCGCAGCAGGGCCTGGGGGGGTGGCGTGGGGTTCGGAGCCCACGCCAGTAGCCCCTGGCGGGAGGCTTTTACCCATTTGTGTTTTCTGGGGCTGGGATTGAACCCTGGGGCCCGGGCTCTGCCGCGGAGCTCCGCCCCCTGCCCCGGACCCAGTCTCAGGGCCTAACCTTTGGCACTGTTTGAAAAGGCCTGTAAATGCATTACCTCTTAATAACTTAAAATTTAACAATTAAAAACTAGAAGAATTCCTTGCCCAGGGCAAGACCTGCATAAGAGACTGTGATCTTCCAGGGTGCAGGTGCAGCCAAAGGGGTCCACACAGTGCAGCCAGGCCCGCTGTCTGTTTACCTCTTCCCCGTCTCCCACCTCCCATGGTGATGGGTTTTCCAGGTTTTTGGCCAAGACATCTTTTACTTTTTGGTTTTGTTTTTATTTTCGAGACGGTCTCACTTTGTAGCCCAGGCCAGCCTTGAGCTCGGGTGACCCTCCTGCCTCAGCCTCCAGAGCGCTGGGCTTGGCCAAGACATCTCTCAGTAGCTTCGCTGAGGTCAAGTCCCCGTTTCTGTAGGACCGGCTCCCTCCCTCCCACCTCTGAGGACCCCAGTGCCTGGGTGTGTGGCTGTGAGCTCGGGGAGGGGACCTGGGTGCAGAAGGGGAGGCAGGGCGACAGGAACGCCCTGAAGTGTCCGAGAGTCACACTTACCAAGCCAGCACACAGTGGCCGGGAAGGGGGTCCCCAGATCCAGCCGCTGGGCTGAGAGGTAGGGGAGATCGGAGCATGGGCCAAAGCGTAAATTCCAGGAAACTTATTACAGTTAAGCCACACTGCTGCGAACCCCCTCACCACCCTCCCTCCATCCAAACGCTCCCCCACCTCTCTCCTGAGCGTCTTTATGAGGCGTGATTAAAACTCAGTGAGTGCCGCCGCCACCTCCGAGCGCCATCCACAGGGAGAGCAGCTGATGTCCTCACCCGCCTTAGTCACTTCCGGCGCCTCCCCCAGGTCAGAAGGACCACGAGAGGGAAACACCTGCAATGCCTTCAGGACAAGGAGGCAGCCAGGACAGAGCAGCTGAAGACCCCCAGGAAAGGGCACGCCAGAGCTGCAGCAGGAAGCGGCCGGCGGTGGGAGGGGAGGACGGCGAGGGCGTCCAAGGCAATCTGCCTTCTACTGCAGTAAAGTGAAGAAACGGTGGACGCACTGTGTATGGGACTCTCGGGTTTCTCATGGCCCTGAGTCTGCAGGGGGCACCAGGGCTGCCGACTGTGGCTTTCCGATGTCACCAGGCTCCTCTCCACCTGCGGTCTCTGTCCACAGGGCTGGCCCCATGAAAGCCTGGTCAGTCTTGTCTGGCTCGCGACAGCCAAGGTCCTGAGGTTGATCCCTGGTACTGGAAAAGAAACAAAGATCCATCTCCCTATTCCCTATTATCCATCTGCTATTTCACGCTGTATTTATACTTTGGGTTTCTCATTAAAAAAAACATTCAATATTTAAGCTCGTGCTTCTGATTTATTTCACTAAGCATTATGGTCTCAAGGGGCACCTGTGTCCTACAGATGCCTCCAGTTTATCCTTCTTTACGGCAGAGTAGTACTCCATGGTGTGTAAATATATTTTTCTTTATCCAGTCATCTACTGATGGTCACATTGGCCACTTCTAAGCTTTAGCTGAGTTGTGCCCCTGTAAATGTAGTATGCATGGATCGCTGTAGCACATCTTTAAAAAAAAACAGACCCTCACAAGTTGATGTCAGGCATAACAGCAATGTTAAAATAGAAAAGTTCAGTTATTTTTTGAGACAAGGTCTCACTAGGTAGTTCAAGATGGCCTTGGATTTACTGTGTAGCACAGACTGGCCTCCAACTTGCCGTGATCCTCCTGCCTCAGCCTCCCCAAGGGCTGGGATCATAGCTGTGTGCCACTGTGTCTGGCAGAAAGCTTAATTTTTAACTGCACAAAGTAAGCTTCACTATTTAAGTATTTTTCATGAAGTTTGTTGGTCCACTTAAAGCAAACAATAGAGTTACAGTCATCACTGGGATCTTGTACCTTTACATGATGTGTCTTGTTCTTGTTTTTTCCCCACTCCCCTGCCCTCCCTTCGGCCCCTTCACCCTTCCCTATTTACAAAGACTTTGTTTCCTTTTTTCACATTTTTTCTTTTTCCTTATTTCCTTTCCCCTCCCCTTCTATTTAAGTATTCTTAAAGTTCTTCCCTCCGAAAACAGAGGGACAAACTATATTTTCTCATTTTGAAGGACTTTTCCACTAACGAGTCAACCGTGCTGGAGGGTTTCAGAGCTCTTCCCTGAAGGAGCGAATCTGGACAAATTCTGTACCGCACTGGTTTCCCTGCGGGTTCTTTTCTCCAGACCCAAATGCAAGTTCTCACAGGGTAGGATGTGGCCTGCTCGCCGCAGGGTTAGGACCGTCGGTCCCAGAGACCGTGACGAGTGTGCCTGGGATCCTGACGGAGTGACGGATTGTTCTTACCTTGGTCGGTGTAACCAGCCCGGCGTGGTCCGCGCCGCCTTGGGGCCATGAGCCGGCAGTGCCCGGCTCCTGCCACCCCCTCCCACCCTTCTTGATGCAGGTGGTGCCATCTGCATTTGTCTGACTGGAAGCGACTCTGAGGTTTCCCCGGAGCTTCCTGGACACCTCAGCGACTTCAAAGCCAAACTTCGCTGTGTGCGTGACCCGATTCTGAGGATGGGGACGATGCCTGCTACTTCTCCAAGAGCTTTGGGCCCATATTTGGTGCTCCAGGGTGGGGCGTGGCACACAGCCGAGCAGACAGAGCCGCTCACGGAGTGGGGGACAGGAAACAGTCAAGGGAGGAGGCAGGAGGGAGCTGGGACCTTCCTGTCACGCCCTCAGTGTGGCCTCTTCTTGCATGGAGCCAGCTGGAAGCCCTAAATTCAGTGAGCCCATGCCCCCAGGCTCTGGGACACCCACACTGTCCTCCCTTCTCCAGGCTCGAGGACTCACCCTCTGGGGGGCCAGGAACTGGGGGCAGCCGGCGAGGTGGCGCGGGTGGATTCCACTGGGCATCGGGAGGAGGAAGGAGCGTCTGCCCCGTCCACCGGGAGACCCAAGAAAGGGCGCGGGCAGCCGCCTTCCAGCTACACCCAGAAGCAGGCACCCAGAGGGGAGGGCAACCACGCACCCGACAGGGTAGAAACCTGGCCCTGCGCCTCCAGGCCTGGGACCTTCCTCATCTTCCCAGGGAGAACGGGCCCTGGCTCAGTCCTCACCAGACACAGAGTGCTGTGGCCTGGGCTGGATTCTGCTTGCGGAGGAGAGGATGTGAGTGGAGTTTGAGATGCAAGGCAGCGTTACACGCACAGAGGGGCTCCAACCCCGGCAGCTCCCAAAGGAACGGTCCGCGAAAGTGGGAAGTGATTAAGCCATTGGCGCCTGAAAACCCAAAACGAACCAACTTCAGAGATTGTTAGCGCACCTTACTGTGCTGCCCCAAAGGAGCTTTGTTCGATTAGGTCCCACGTGGTGGGTGCCTCTTTTGAATGGGAATTTGCCTTTTCAAATCCCAGAGACTTGGATTAAAGTTGTTTTTCGTCCTTGAAAAATTTGACTTTAGCGTGAATTTAAGGATGATGACCTTTACAGAACAGGGAAAAATTAGGGAAGAAATCAGGCAGAGGCAGAGCTCTTCCAGGAATGGCATCAGCTCTCTGGAGAGAGAGCCAGCGGTCTGTAATCCATTTTAAAGTGAAGGTTTATTATTTCTGTGACCTGGCTCTCAAATGCCCCCCAAGCCTCCCATATTCAGAGGTGGGGCTTTGGAAGGGTGACGGGCACAGGGTGGGGCACTTCTCTTAGTCACTTCACTCATCACTGAGAAGTATTTGACACCTGAAACTTACAGGAGGAGAGGTTTATTTTGGCTCACCTTAAAACCGTGATTGGCTGGCTCAAGGTAGAAACAGGACAGCAGAGGGGCCTGGTAGACAAAAAGTTGCTGATGTCAAGGTAGCTGGGAAGGTAGAGAGAGAAGTGTCAAGTCAGGGACAAAAATTCCCTTTCAGATCACACCCCAGGACCTGCCTCTTCCAGTAAGACTTCACCTCCTAGTAGTACATTCAGCCACGACTCTTCGATGGATTAATCCATTGATAACAGAGCGCTATGTTTCAGAGACAGAATGACCCCCAGCAGGCTCTTGTGTTCAGAGTTGGGGCTTTTGGAAGATGATTGGGTCTCGGAGGCAGTATAGTTGTCCTGTAGCTAGGAGATGGGTTGCTAGGAGTTACCCTCGGACAGAGTATTCGTGGCTCGAGCAGACTTTCCCTCAGCTGTTTTTTCTTGGAGCTGACCTACCGTGGACTGAACCCTCTGAAACCATCAGCCAAAATAAGCTTCTTCTCCTTTAAGCTGTGCCTGTCAGGTATTTTGTTCCAGTGTTGATAAAGCTGACTAGTATAGAAAATTGGTACCAGGAGTGGGGTCGATGCTGTGCCTGAATCCAACCATGGTTCAGAAGCCTTTGGAACTGGTTTATGAGAAGAGTTTGGAAATGTTTTGGAGAATCGGGTTAGAGAAAGCTTAGAAGGCTGCGTGCAGAGCTGAGAGGGCAATGCTAATTAGAGCTTAGAAGACCAGAGTGCTGTTAGAAATGTGGACATTAAAGGCCAGCTTCATGAGGTTTCAGAAGGGAAGGAGGACTCTGTTGGAAACTGGGCCAAGGCTCACCTATGTTGCATTCTGGTAAAGAACTTCTCTACATTTTGACCTTGTCCTAAGACTTTGTGTGATGTTGAATTAAAGGTGGTGGGCTAATCAATCTGGTGGAGGAAATTTCCAGGGAGCCCAACATTCAGGAAGTGGCATGGGTTCTCCTTGCTCCTTTCAGCTAAAATTATAATAGGAATTGGGAGTAAAAAGCAGAGCCAGAAAGTGTGCAGCTCAGACACAAAGGAAGCACCTGTAAAGTTGGGGCTAAGGATAGTGTAGTTGCTGAAAAGATTAGTGCCATAAAAAGAAGCCATGTTCTTTGCACTGGTCAACAGGAAGGATTCTTTGAGGGTACCTCAGGAATTGGCCAGACCCCACCCATCAGAAGTTAAAGGGTGGAAAGCTTAACTTTCTCTGAAAGAGCTTGCATTGAGCAGAGGTGGCTCACTCAGGGCCTCCTGTCTTTCCTGAGTTCATCCATTCAGGCACTCAGAGGCCACTGTAGACATGTTCCAAGGGGGCCAGGATGCTGCTGCACCTGGCAGGCAACTATCACGGTACCATCCATGGGGGCACTGGTTTTACAGGCATGTAAAATGCAAGAGTGGTGGGTCATGGAGGCTTCTGCCAAGATTTCGAAGGATGGCCTGGGGAGGGCATAGTATGAGGCTGTGAGTGAAACCAAAGGTGCAGTGGAGACCCCAGGAAACCGGAGGGCCCGGAGTACAGAATTTAAGATAAGGACTCGGCAGGCAGAGTGGAGCCAGCCCAAGAGAGAGACCCTGGGCATAGCCAGGGCTGCTGTAGGGTGGCACAGCCCAAGCCCTTCAGAGGTCCCGATGACCTGCCCCAGTCTGCACAAGGAGCTCCGGGATTTAATGTTCGCTCTGCAGTTTTCTGGTCTCCTGCGGTCCGATTCCCTTCTATCCCTCTGCTCCTCCTTTCGGAATGGGAATGTTTAACCTGTGCCCATTGTATACTGGCAGTTTTTCTTTCTTTTCTTTCTACAGAAGTTCACAGATAAGAGTTCGCAGTGAGCCCAAGAGGAGGCTTTGGACTTGGACTTTGAGCAGTGCTGGGAATGCCATCTTTGGGGATGCTGATATGGGCCAAATGTATTTTACATAATGAAAGGGACAAGAGCTTCTGGGAGGCCAGGAGTAGGATGTGACGGTTCAGATTTAAAGTTTCCCCCAGTCTCAGGTGTTCAGAGGCGGGCTTTTGGAAAGGGGTTGGGTCTGGGGCACCATTCTCCCCAGAGGATGTCTCTTGAGCTCCTAGGAGGAGGCTCTGTTGGGTGGTGGAGCCTGGCTGGAAGGGCCGGTCCCGGAGCGTGGCCCGGAAGGGTGCAACTCCCTCCGGCTCCTTCCTGCTCTCTCTGCCTCCTGCCGGCCCCGCCACAGGCAGCTTCCTCTGCCTGGCCCCTCTGTGCCCCCTGACTATGGACAGAAACCTCGACAGCCGTGGGCCAAGATAAACCTCTTCCCTCTTAACTTGCGGGTGCTGGCATTGTCTTCCAGCAGTGAAGAGACTGAGCCGGGATTGCTCCGTCCCCGGGGGGGCTGGGGCTTTGTGCTGTGCTGTCCTGGCTGCACTGGCTCCTTTCCTTGGTGTTTGTGGTTCGGATGGGCGACAAGGGGTCCTCAGGGTGGAAGGGAGGCACGGGCTCGTCTAGGACCTGCCGAGGCCTCCCTCAGGGACCATCCATCCTGCTCCTCACCCTGCCCCTTCCCACAGTGCTTTTTATTCTTTCACTGGTGGGTATCTACGTGGCTTTTATTTTGCGGTGCTTGGGATAGAACCCGGGGCTTGGGCACTGAGCCACGTGCCCAGTCCTCTTTTTATTTTTCATTTTGAGAGATAAAGGTCTCACAAAGCCTCTACATCCTGGGTTGGATTTGAACTTGTGATCCTCCTGCTTAAGCCTCCCAGACTAAGATGACAGGCGTGTGCCCTGAATTTTGAAACAAACTTTTCTCCAACTTCTTATTTTAACTAAAGAACAAAAAGCTAGTTTGAGCCAGGCATGGTGGTGCACACCTCTCATCCCGGCACTGGGGAGGCTGAGGCAGGAAGATCACCAAGAGTTTGAGGCCAGCCTGGGCCACATAATGAGACCCTGTCTCAAGAAACCAATCAATCAGAAAGTATCACCCGCATCCCACTACCACCAACAACTGTTCTGTTAACACAGAAACCACCCTGAGGAGCGGGGAGGCGGGTGTGATTCTGAGCGTAGTCCCCCGCTCCTGGCCGATCTTCCTCGACTCCTGTCTCCGGGCTTCAGAGTTTACCTGCGAGTGAATTATTGGTTACTGCTAACAAGTATCGACTGCCTGCCAGCCCACACCCTGACCAGCACAGCCCTGTCTTTTCCCGGCATTGCCCATGGGCTGCAGAGGGAAGAGCCCCATCCAGGCTGTGGGGCGGAGACACGCACGGGCCTTGGTGATCCTCCTGCCTCAGCCTCCAGTGTGCTGGGATCACAGGCGGCTCCACGCCCGTCCCTCGCGTGCACGGCCCGGGCAGCCTGCCTGTCCCGTCTGCTGGGTGGCTTCAGGTCTCCGTGTGAAGGGATCAGTCCCACTTTGGGTTTGTTCGTCAGCCTCCATGAGTTGTTTCCCCTCTGTCTAATCACAGCGATCAGTCTCCCGGGGTCACGTAAGAGGGCTGTCCTGAGACCGAGAGGACAGCGGGTGGACGTACGTGTGGGAAAGGGACGTCCAGGAGGGCTTCCCGGAGGGGTGACATTGGTACTGGGAGACAGGCTGCGACCCATTCCAGTCAGAAGGCCCTCTTCTCCTGCTGGGGAGGTGGAGGATCGCCCTGGGCCTCCAGCCACCATCTGCTTTTTTGAGACAACGTCTCACTATGTAGCCAGGGTGGCCTCAGCTCACAGCGATCCTCCTGCCTCAGCCTCCCGAGTGCTGGGATGACCGGCGTGTGCCACCACGCCCAGCTTCTCGTAGGGCTGAAATGGTTGCCAGATTCCTTAAATCCCTAGGGAAGCGGTGTAGACAGCTGCTCTACTGTGCTGTTCAGGAATGAGGACCAGAGAAGCACCCCAGTGGGGTCTTTTCCTCCTGTGTCTGCAGCCCAGTGAGTCTGGCGCTGACCACCTGCTGCACACACAGCTCAGTGCCAGGCCGGGCCCACAGCGGCCACTGCGAATGCCTGGGGTTCTCTCAGAGGGCAGTCCTAGGAGAGAACCTGCAGCATCCCCAAGCCCCGAGGAATTGTGTCTCCAGGGAGTGAGGGCTGAGTCTGTATGCTGTAAGGTCTGGAGGGCAGTGGGTGAGGTGGGCGCCTGTCATCCCAGCTCTCTGGGAGGCTGAGGCAGGAGCATCCCAAGTTCAAGTCCAGCCTGTGCAGTTTAGGAATTGAGTAAGGTCTGCCTCAAAATAAAAAAAATTAAAAGGGCTGGGGACAACTCAGTGCGAAGGTCCTGGGTTCCATCCCAGAGCTGGAAAGGAGAATGAAGATACCAAGGGCACAGCGTTCTTCTCGGCCCCAGCTCCTGGTCCGAGTGCTCACGAGTTGCCTGTGGTTTGCGGCCCACAGAGCGTGGTACGGTCTTTAAGAGCCTGTCCACCAGGAACTTTGAGGTTTCTGAGTCAGCACCCGTCCCCAGCTGGCAGGCAGAGGCTGGGGCAGTCACCTGCGGGCCTCTCCTGCTTGCCCTGTCTGGGCCCGGGGGCACGGGACCCCACACCCAGGGCCAGCCCGAGGCCTAGGACCTCTCATGGGGCTGAGAGTAAGGACGGGCTCAGGGCGGCCCCTGGGCGGTCCCGGATGGGCTGGACCCAGGCCCTGCTGGACTTACAGTGGGGCACAGAGGGCCTTCCTGAAGCCCTGGCAGGGTGGGTCCCTCTCCCCAGGGCCCCCACTGCCAGCCCAGGGCTTCAGCGTCTCCCCTGTCCTCCCTGTCCTGAACACAGCCAGGCATGGAGTAGCACACCTGTGATCCCAGCACTCAGGAGGCTGAGGCAGGAGGATCACCAAACACAAGTGACGCATTCCATTGACCTCAACTGCTTCCTGTTTGCTTTGCTTTTTTTTTTTCTTCTGTCGTGGAGAGCTGCTTGTGTTGTTTCCCCTCAAGATCCCGTGTCCTCTGCCTGGATCCCTTTCCTCTGAGGGGGACCACGCATGAGATAGCAGTGTGGCAGGGGCGGGAGACCTGCATCTCTTGGTCTCTTGTTTTGTTTCCTGTCTGTCTGTCTATTGTCTGTTTTTGTCTTGCTATGTGGCCTGGGCTGGCTCTGAACTCGAGATCCTGCTGCCTCAGGGTCCTGCTGCTAGGATCACAGGCGTACGCTGCCATGCTGTTTGGGCTCACAGCCCATGCCAAGGTGGACCCGCTGCTGTCACACCTCTCTGGTGATGACAGATGTGGGACAGGAAGTCACTCACCTCGTGGCCAGGACGCAGGAGGGAAGGGAGGCACTGGGGTCTCAGGGTCCTCTACAGCCAAGAGGGGATGAAGCCTTTAGCCAGCGGTGTCTGGAGATATTCATGTCCAAGCCACTGTGTGCGAGCTGGGTGCGGTGGTTCAGGTGTGTGGTCCCAGTGCTTGGGAGGCTGAGGCAGGAGCACTGTGGTGAGCGCAAGGGCAGCCTGGGCGACACAGTGAGACTCTGACCGTGGTTTTTGCTGTTTTTGTCCGCGGGCCCCCTCGAGAAACAGGGTTGGGGGGCCTGGACTGGGAGTGCAAGGTACAAAATCAACACGCAGACACGGAGGAGATTTCTGGATCACTTCCGCTTTGCTCAGCAAATTCACAGGCTTATATAGGGCAGGGCGGGGGTGGAGCCAGGGTGGCACTACTGGGTCGCTATTGGATAGGGTAAGGTGGGGGTGGAGCCAGGGTGGAGTCAGGATGCTTGGCACATTGTTATTGGCCACATGTTAGTTTTTGGATTGTATGCTTTAGGGGCTGAGGCTAACGGAGTCAGGACTTTAGAGGTTTTTGAGAGGAACAGTTTATCTGTCTAAGGTCAGATCTCTACACATCCCAGGGGGTGGATTATTCCAGCCCTAGTAGGCCTTGGAGTTTTCTCAGGAGCGATGGGCGCAGCGCTCCTGACTCAGCCAGACATGAGCCTGATCCCCAGACCAGGGGAGGAGCGCCCCCGCAGTGTGCACACAGCCCTCCCTGCACTCAGGGCCGTGCCCCGAAGTTTAAAGACGCACACTAACTGATTTTCCTTGAAGTTTACTTTCCTCTAAATGCTGCATGCCTGGTAGCCGGTTTAGACCCAGGCAGCCTCTGTGAGAGGCGAGGATCGCCCGCAGCTGGCAGACGCGCCCCACCTCCCCACGTGCGGCTCCGGGCGGGGCCCACAGGTGCTTCTTATATGGGCAAAACCAGCTCCCCCTTTAACTTCCCTTCTGTTCCCATTTCTCTCTGGACTTCTGGGGGCTGGGCGGTTTGATGATGCCCTGGGGGCGGCAGTGCGGGGTGGGAGCTCCAGCCTCCTGGTCAGCCTCCTGAATATCCGGGATTCTAGGTGCAGGGCGCTTTGTTCTAACAGGAAGCCAGCTCGCCCAAAGCAGTGGCCTGAAAAGGCGGAGGAGGCCAGGAGGGAGGCGGGAGCAGGAGACCTGGGCCAGGCCTGAGGGCCCAGTACCCTGTTAGCAAGCACAGACTGAGCTGGGCGCCCCCTTCCGGCCTCTGTGCCTGTCCATCCTGGTCACCTGGGGCCAGGACGCCCTGGGCCAGAGGACGAGGGAGACCTGTCCCTGTGCTGGCTGTCACAGCGCCTGGGCTCCCCCGAACTCAGCAGTGCTGTGCAGCCCTAGTCAAATACGGCCTCACGTCCTCTTGGTTTCTGAGTTACACACTCCCACTAAGGGAAGGGGCTGCGGCCCGTAGCTCAGCAGTGTGCCAAGCAGATACCTTTCCTGCCTTATCTACCTGTGACACTGGCTTTGTCAGAAAGGGCCACGCCCACGGTTAGTCTCCAGAACAACATATGCCTGGATGAATTAACAATTGTAGTTTGGCGAGTCTTATTAGGCAGTGAGTGCTTAATAGAAAAAAATCACGCCGGGGATTTAGCTCAGTGGTTCCTCCTGCCTTGCAAGCACAAGGATCCAAGTTTGATCCTTGGTACAAAAAAAAAATCACAAAAATAAATTATTGACTTTTTAATATTTATTCAGTGTTTATAAAAAATTAAAATTTTCAACATGGATCGTTTTGGGGTATACAAAGTATACAAAAGAACAACAGAAATAAATCCCTATGTGAACTACACTGAAAATACCGGTGGCACTCCACACACACAAAAAAATCTTTACTTCGGTTTTCACACCTAAGGCGATCTGCACACATTCCACACATGCGCAGATCTTACACCAACAGCACTGTGTTTTGCTTCCCTGGCCTCTTTGCAGGGCATCCTGGACGTCTCGCTGGCCTTGCTGCTTTGTCAGGAGGATCTCATTGTATTACAGTGTGTAGTTAACGAGGACACACGACATTCCATTATTAATGTGCCGCACGTTTAGAATAGACACCAACACGTTCACATCAGCTGTCTTCTTGCTTACAAAACCTGCAAGGCAGAATCGGGAAGAAAAACCTGTGTGAACTTCAAGGAAACACTGCTTGCACTCTGCAACAAAAATAAGCTTTGCTTCGGCGCTTTGGCTCTCAGGCCCAAGGCGCCGCTCCCACGTGACAACTGCGTGCCCCCCAGGTGTCGCTCACACCCGTAGCCTGTGCATTTTGTTTCCTGCAGGGCACGCTGGCCTCTCCTGGTTCTCCTGTGGCCCTGGGTCTTCGTGGTGCTGCGCCTGCCCCCTCTCCGGACAGCTGCACAGTTTCCTCGCACAGTTGTGGGGCAGAGACGGAGCTGTCCCCGCCCAGGGCCCCTGCATTCCGGTCTTCTCTCAGCCTTGACAGCTTCTGTTTTTTGCCTTCAGCCTCTGCTTCCTCATCCCCCAGGTCCTCGGGTCTAAGCCGGGGCAGAACAGGACTTGCATTAATTTCGCTCTTCGCTCTGTACCCAGCAAGGCACCTTGCATCTTAAGCGCTGTGTGTTCATGGGTGGCTTCTTTGCCCATCAGTTTTTCTTTTTGTAAGAAAACACGTATTTTCTGTAGTTCTGTAGTTCTGTGTTGAGATGACCGGGACCCAGGCAGGCCTTGGCACTTGGGTCCCCGTGGGGTCCCCTCCAGCTGCTATTCTGGTGTGAACCAGATCTGCCCGCTGGCCCGTCCCTGCCAGCCACAGACCTCTGTCTGTCCTTGACGCTCGTCTGCTGGACACTTCCTGATTCCAGCCTGCCCCCCTCAGAATTCCTATTTTCTCCTTCCGAAGCCAGGGGGCCTGGAAGCTCACCTGGTGAGTTCCTGGTCTCCAGACCGTGTCCTCTGGGCAGGCAGCTCCCCAGCCAGCGTCTGAGGAGCCACTGCCCACTGCGGGCTGGGGCTGCACGGAGAAGCAGCCCAGCAGCGCGACTCCCGCATGCAACTCACGGGCTCGGCGGCCAATTAGGCAGAGTTTTGATTAATAAGAAATGGGCAGGATGAATAGTTAATCAGCACGGTCTGTCAGGAAAGACTTGCGGAGCTGGGCTGGGGAGGAGTGACAGAAGTCGGTCCTAGGGCGCCTGGTCCTGCAGCTGGGCCTCCTGGCAGCCTCGGGTGCAGAATGAGGGGCACAGGTGAGATGCCAGGTGGGCCAGGTAAGCGAGGGGTGGCGTGAGGTGCCCTGCTGTGCGGATCTGTGGTCGGTGGGTACCCACAAGCTGTCGGGGTGGGGCCGGAAGAGGCAGCGAGGAGGAGGAAATGGTGGACCAGGGGCCTGGCAGCTGGAGAGGCATCATGCGGGCAGGGGGTGGGGTCCTGGGGGGCAGGCAGGAGCAGCCGGCTGGGACTGACTGAGGCTCTGTGCTGGCGACACGCTGGTCGGTGGGCACTTGGGGCACAGGGCAGCTTGTAGTTCTTCGGGGAACTACACGCACCCGAGTGCTCGTTTCCTTCCCCCCAAACCGATGATGACTGACAGGTTTGGGGGGCACTGAGACCTCCCTGGGCTGGTGTGAGGTCCCCGCCCCTGTCCCGTCCCGATAAGGGGCTGCTTGTCAGAGGCTGAGGAGTCGCACTCTGAGCCCAGGAGGTGGAAGGTGTGACTCCTTCCTGCCCTGCTGACCTTGTCTGCCACCCTGCTTGTCCCACAGATTGGATGAGCTCCTGACCTGTCTGTTGGATGCCTGGGCTCTGCTGTGTCCTCCGGGCTAGGCCTGCCTGGCGCTGTCTTCCCGACAGAACGCCGCCTTGAGGGGCTGTGTGAAGGCTGGGGCCCTCGGGCAGTGCAATGCGCAGCCTGGGGAGGGCGGCAGGGCCTCTTCTGAGAAGTGCAGAGCCGCTCCCTGGGCCGGGGAGGCCTCCCCCTGTCGAGGGGCCCAGGGAGGGACCAGCTCCTGGGGACGGCCGACAGCCACAGCAGCCCCGCTCGAGGGAGAGCTGCCCCTCAGGCAGCCCGTCCAGGACGGTGGGGTGGGAAGGCTGGGGTGATGGCAGACGACGGCCTGGGTGCCTGGCCTCTGGGAGCCCAGGACGAGAGGTCCCCTCATCTTCACCCTGGCAGCCTTCAGCCTCTTCAGGTCCTTCCCACCAGCCCCATCTTTGATGGGTTCAGGACCGCTGTGGCCCGGCACAGCCAGGGAGTCGCAGAGGCCGGGACAGAGGCGGAGAGGGCCTCCTGAGGCGGCAGCTGGGATGGATATGGCTTCCCAGGCTCCCTCTCGCCTCTGCCCGTCACCCTCTGGAGCAGGGCAGCAGGTGGGTCAGAGCTGGGGGTGCCATGCCGCTCCTTCGGGATGCGCCGAGTCCTCGGCTGGGCCCCAGGGC